TCCCTCTCTCTGTATTTCTTTCTCTCTCTCACACTCATAACAATAAATGGAACAAAACACACACTCTCTCTCTCTCTCTCTTTCTCTCTTTCTCTCTCTCTCTCTCTCGTGTTACCTCTTAGTCTCATTGATTTGGCTACCTTAGGGCTGCGTTCCCCGCGCCCACCCGGTAGACAATCGTATTAAACGTGCCGCTGGAGGGCCCGAGGATTCCTCCTCGGAGCGATTCCCCAAGGACAGTTGGAACGAAGCATCTGAAAATCTGAAAATTGCAATTTCCCCCGAGGATTCGTCCTCGCAATTTGAGGCCCCCGAGGACGGCCTGAGGAATGTCTGATGAGGCCCGAAGTGGGGCTATGACTACTCTATTAGTTTTCTAGAGTTGTTTTGACAACTCTAGAACAGGTTTTGGAGCGCCTGTTTCTTGGGTAAGTGCAGCCATGCCGCAGTCAAGAGTGGGCTGTGGTTACGGTAATTCCAAATAAATGCGCTTTTCCAGGAGCACTACCAGATCCGTTGATGAAATGGTTTCGGGCCCTCAGTCGGGCCTGGTTGTGCATTGCTGTTGATTCCAGCGAATTGGAGGGCATAGCTTCCATGACAAGAATGCAGTCCCTGATCCCATGTATGCACACAACGCGGCGTTGGACGGCGCGGCGATTTTATTCCTCTGGCGTCGTTCATTCCTTGTTGAGAGGCTCCCGCCCTTTCGTAGATAGGGTTGTGGAGATGCCAGCGTTTGTAACCGGAAACGGGCGAAAGAAGGTTTGTTGCCCTGACCGAGAGCGGTTCACGGCTGCGGCTGTCGTTAGATTGCTGATGGCGAATGTTGGAAGTGCGATGGCGGAGAGGGAGGCGCGGTAAAATGGCTAGAAGGGATAATTACAAGAGTAGGTGCGCATGATCAGGGGGGCGATTACGCGGACGGAAAGGGAAAGGGATTGGGAAAGGGAAAGGGAAAGGGAAGCCAGTGCTAAGTGTTACGCACCCGCCTCTTGCAGTGATTTGCGGGAAGTCTTTTGACCGTGCTTTCTCCCGCAGCAGGCAACGGTGCGGACAGGAGTATACAGGACTGGGAGTGATAGAGCATACAGGACGTCGCTGATCTTCGCGTAGGGGTTTGGCGCGTGCAGGCATTCTTGTAGCTTGCATGGGGTCAATGACTTGTGTCTCCTTTGTGAAGAGTGTCTCCTTGTGTTCAAAATAAGCAAGTGGTATTTGAAAGGCAGGCGATTTGCACATTTATGCTCGGGAGTGCGTTTGCTGGGGCAGTTGGTCGGAGTTGTGGAAGAGAGATTGAGGCAAAGGGTAACGCGGGGCTGGTCGCATCTAGCTGCTATGTTGAATAAGACGTGCGTCGGGTGGTTGGCAGACTAGAGAGGAGTGTGCAGTAGCCTGCCATTTTTAAGTGATTTCTGTGGTAGTCTTAGCTTGCGATCAATCATCGCGCCTGTACGTTGCGGTTATCGCGCTTGCTAGCGTGGCATAATGAGCTGCGAGGACGACGAGAAGGCGCGCGTGTCCGCTGATGGAGATGCAGGAAGAGACCTTGCTCACCGGCAAGGTGACTGCGATGAAGAGGGAAATCCACAACATGGCCATGGGTCTGCCGGGCGCTTGACAGGGGACGCAAAAGTAGGTGTCAACGTGAACAATGGGAGTGTGCGAGAGGCGGGAGAGGAAGAACGAGGGGGGAGGCGGGGGTTGTCTCCAGCTGTAAGCGGAGGAACGTCTCCACGCGAGATGCGGAGTGGCGGCGGCGGCGGCGGCGGCATTGGTGCTCCCGCGGCGGATGAGAGAGCGTCGTTAGGTGAGAGAGAAAACGGCGGGATGGACGGCGGGAAACCTAAGCTGTCGGGGAAGGAAGATGTGTCGAATCCGGTGGCGGCGGCGGGGGGAGGAGATGCTGGAATGAAAGATGCTAGGCGGTCGCGCGCGAGGAGTAACAGCAGAAGCAGGAGTCGCAGCAGAAGCGGCGGACGCAAGAGATCCCGCTCTCGGTCTAGGTCGCGATCGCGATCAAGATCTCCTGCCTATCGGCGGAAGGACTCGAGAAGGCGGTCGCGTATGAGTCGCAGTCGCAGCGCTAGCCGTAGCAGAAGCCGCAGCAGCCGCAGTCCGCCTCCTAGATCCCGAGCTCCGCGCAGCAGTCGGTCGCCGCCTCCGCACAGAGACGGCTCGAGGTACAGGAGGCGCAGCTACAGCCGTAGTGGCAGCCCGCCCCGCTACAGACCCCGCTCGCGCAGCCGTGAAAGAAAGCGCTATGACTCTCGCTCTCGCTCCCCGTTCTATCGTCGTGGCGGGAGGGGTCCGCGGTATGCAGTACCGCCTTATGGCATCTACGGTGGATATGGCGGCGGCGATTCCATGGGCGGCTCTCGATGGCAGGTGCGTGCTTGTAATCCTTGTTTCTTCCCCTCTGTTGCCGTCGGCTGTTTGACTTCCATCCCTCCGCTTTCGACCTGTGGCCTTTTTTTGGTCTTTTTTTGGCTTCTCGCCGCCGTTCCATGTCGGTCAAAATCCCCACCGCACTGAGTCTTGATGTTTCGCCTCCCGTCACTTCATATTACTTCATTTTTTACTTCAGTATTTATTTACCAGTACAGTATATCTCCTTGAATTTCCTGAATTTTTGGAATAGCGGTTCCGTTGCCTCATCGGCGAGAGCTACTCTTCCCGCCGCCGTGTTCGCGGCAACTCTTCCCGCCACATGGGTGGTGTCCTCCCGCCTCCCGCCTTCGTGGATGGCTTCTCTCTCTGTGGTACTGTTACATCGTGGTGTCGGTCGACTTTTCGCCTGATCATTTCTTCTTCCCGCCCAATCATTTCTTGTTCGCGCCCTCTTCGCAAGGCAAAATCTGGATGTCGAAGCAGTCTTTACGGACATGACTGCGTTGGCGTTCTCTTAGTGACGCACCACTCTGCGTGCTGAATCTTCTTGCTGAATCTTCATTGTCATGATTTTGAAGCAAAAACCGTTTTTTTTTTTTGTCACGTCACTAGTTTAATGTGGGAAAAGCTTTCTTGCCCGTCTTTAGCAGGGCGTGCTGTCCGTCATCTTCTGGTAGTACCCTCGATTCTTTCTTTCGAGTTTTTTGTCATTTGTAATCTGTGAGTGCGAAAATGCTCTTGTGCACATCGAAGTGTCGTTAATTGAGGAAGAACCCAAAGAAGACGCACGTGACCATTCACTATTTTTCGTCCTTGCTTAGGGGAAAGAGTCAGAATGACTGGTTCTGCACGGATTGAACCAACACCATATATTGAAACCACATTCGCGCGCATGTTCCCGGTCATGTATGCGCTATTTGTGAACCAGCCTCTCCTGGGGGCTTTACTTCGGGGGCCCGGAAACCAAAGAAAGAAGGTGACTGACTACCTTCTTCCCCCGAATACAACGTACGGTCATTATAGCTGTATTTAGACTGAAAGATGCGCCAAAAATTCAGCTGTAACGACCGTACGTTGTATTCGGGGGAAGAAGGTAGAGGGAATAAGGCGAGAGTAATGATGGTCCCTGTGTTGCTCCTTGGCTTGGTCGTCAGATCGACGGACTGCTGACGTTCCGTCGGAATGGAAGTGGAAGAATCGTTGACGTGACGTGAGGTTAGTGTGGTGTTCTGGTTAATTTGAAATGGATGGAAGAGCAGCCCGTCGATCTGAACAGATTTAATTTCATTCTATAGTATAAGTAGTAAAATGAAGTCACAGATGAAGTCGCAGGCTTGGTTTTCCGACTGAGGGTTTTCTCCTCTGCTTTCTCCAGCCTACCCTTCTTCCCCCGAATACAACGTACGGTCGTTATAGCTGAATTTGGCGTATCTTTCAGTCTAAATACAGCTATAATGACCGTACGTTGTATTCGGGGGAAGATGGTAGCTTTCGTTTGAGACGTCAGTTAAGTCGCCTTCAGGTCAAGGGATTGAAATAAATGATGGAGGCTTACGTGACTTAAGGGGAGCTTGTGGACTGATGGAGGCTTAAGGAGCGAGGAGGACTTAACATATGTTGGTCAGCTTTGGCGGTGGGAATTTGTCATTTTGACGCTTCAGCGAAGGCTTACACGCAATGTTTTGTTGCCCTTACGTGAGGTTTTTATAGTTGGCGGCGGCGCTTCGCAGAAGCTCGGCCTGGGAAAGGACGGAAATGTGTTTGTAATCGGAATATGGGGGGAGGGTTATTGAGATCTCGCCGTTTAGTTGTTCATTTGGGTATCCGATTGTTGATTTCTGAGTAGCCTTGTGTCGATGTATTACTCATATAAGGAGGACTTGGACAGTAGAAATCACCTTGTTAGACTGGCGAAGAGAGGCTCGATATTTTCCGTCTTAGGGTCTGATCCCACCAGGTGCCACCACTTTCCGACTTCGTCGCGGCCGCCGAAATATTTTGCCATACTTTCGTTTGGGTGTGTCGTGGCAGCACGTCCGCGAAGGGTGCAAGCGTAGTTACTATAATTTGTGTGTAGACCGTGAGGGCATCTCTGCAGCGAAAAAGAGGGAGCAATTTTTTATTTTTTCTCTTTCGTCCGTTTGCAGCATTTCGATTGGCGAAAACGTCCGCCCTCTGCAACAGCCCACAAAGAACCGCCGCGGGTTCAGGAAAAGCACCGAAGAAGTCGCCCTGGTGGGATCCAATTTTTCTTTTTCGTCCCGCCACGGCCGCTGACATCTTTGTAGTGCTTTTTCGCGACTACAGTCGTAGTGTAGTGGTGGGATCAGACCCTTGATCGGAGAGATTACAAAGTATTCAATCGTTAGTCTTAAACCACCAGTTCACACGAATCTAAATTGACGAACCAAAAGTTGCACGTTTCCAACAACAAAAACAAAAAAACGTTTCCAAGCCTGACTGCTACAGTGAACAGAAAAATCTCGGGGTACTGGTACCAGCCTACCATGAAACTCGAGAGTGCTGTACCTCGGGCCAGCAGATGGCATGGAAAAGACAAGCGGAAAAAAAAACAAAACAAAAACTAAATCCAGATCAATGATGAACAAAGGCCGTTGCCGTTTGATGAATGAAAACAGAAAAGAGATGGGGGGGGGGAAGCCATCTGACCTAGGGCATACTCACAATAGTACTGTTCAGAATGTACCTGACCAGTATCACGGCCAAATCAGTCTTTTCTTTTTTTTCTTTTTTTTCGTTCTTGTTTCTTGTAGTACCCTGCCAGGGCGGCAGGGCGTATTCCACCTTCTTCTCAGGAAAGGCTTTCTGAGTGCATACGCACACTGCTACTTTCCAAAATGTATCTGACCGCTATCAGGTCCATATCGTACATTCGTTTTTTTTTTTTTTTTTTCCCTATTTACATTCTAGGGAATGCCCTCACTCAGGGCATATTCACGCAACTACTTTCCAGAATATATCGGAAGGATATTACGTCCAAATCCGTCTTTGTTTTCTTCTTTTTTTTTCTGGTTTTCTAAGATTAGTGCCATGCCAGCAAGGCAGGATGTCTGAGTAAGTAGTGCAGTCCCGGTTGCTCATTTGTTTTCCTTTTTTCCCCCCCAATTTCGCTTTGTCTATTTTTTTTGGGGCCCACCAGACTTTTCCTTCCGAACCTGCGCCGTGCCGGATCACTGTTCATCTTGCCACGGTCGCAGTGTACTGCGTTCTGGTGAATAGTAGGGTTCTGTGAGCTGGTGGTTTAATACAAATATATATATATTGTTCGTGTTTCTACAGCTATTAGTATGTTGGTATGTCTTTTTTTTTGTCGATAGTATACCTGCCAGTGTCTATTGCTGTATCTATTTTGTACTGAATCAGTTCTCTCTTCTCATTCTCTCTTACATCTGTGTTTGCAACGCGTTGTGACTTCGTTTCGTAAACCCTTAGTCTGAACCCTGTTTCCCCCTACCTGTCTGAGACTCGCCCACCTCGTATCAGGTGTAATTGGAACTCCGTTTGCTGGAACCGAAGCTGCAGGTCGTTTCACGCTTGCCTCACGCACCTTATGCGTCTTGTTGTTGCGTCATTTCTACTTGATATAATAACTTAGTGTATCTGGAGGGTTAGCGAAGATGGAAGGGGGTTAACATAGTGTATCTATGCGAGTCTCCGCTTGGATGGACTGTTGACGGAACCAAAAAAAGTTTTCTCCGAATGCTGCTGCCCAAATAACGTGGGTAAGGAAAATCGTTGTAGTCTTTTCTGTCTCACAACTTGGCCTCTTTCTCTTGCGCCTTTTTTTTTCTAGTCGGTGATGCTGGATCTCACAATTTCTCCCCTCCTTGTTCTCGGTGTTTGGTATAATACTACGTGTTATGTGTTGAACGGTGAATTACAACATTCCCTCTCCTTCTTCTTTACCTTCGGCAGCTCGTTGTCTTCGACCTATTTCTTTCGACTTCCTAGAAGAAGCGTAATTCTTTCGATTTCCAAGAAGAAGCGTAATTCTTTCGACTTCCAAGAGTCGTAATTCTTTCGATTTCCGAGAAGCGCATTCTATAGTTGTGTGCTTCAATCATTGGTTTTCCTACTCTTCCATGGAATTACTTTAGATCGGATCTCTCGAGTCGTTCTTCGCGTCTTCAGTTGAAAAACAGTTTTGCTTGGTTCAAAAACCCGGGCTCGGTTTTTGTTTTCTCTGCCTGCTGCTTATAATAAGAAGACCTACTCTATGGCGCCCGTGAAAGAACGACGGAATGAAATACTAAAGGCCTCGCTGCACTACTCTCGACATGCACAAAAGACAAAAATATTGGCGGTGTATCTTTCCATATTCTAGCGGAAGATTCACTCTCGTTTTGCACATTTCGAGAGTAGTGCAGCGAGGCCCTATGTGTTTGGAGTCCAGGGAAGGAGCGTGAGGTAGGAAGTCCAGAATCATCAGTCCAATCAGGAGCTACCATCTTCTTTGAGTAGAGAACGCACTGTCATTCTAAGCTGCATTTGGCACAACTTTCAGTCTAAATACAGTGATAATGAATGGCCGTGCGTTCTATACGTAGGAAAAGACCGTCAGTTGTTTCGGAAGTCACTGATCTCGCCGGAACTGGGGTTCTCATTTCCACAGAGGGACCAAACGTTTCATCCAGGAGGATCAATTCTACACGAGGGAATTTCCCTCGTGTAGAACTCACGGTCATTCAGGAAAGGGATCTCGTCTGGCTGTATCTACAGCAGCCTATGTCATTCAGGGAAGTGATCTCGTCTGGCTGTATCTACAGCAGCCTATGAGCGTGGCGTCTTATGGCGGTTGGGTACCGGCCTCTTCCGAATACTACATCATGCTACTGAATGGATACAAGATATCTTTGAGGCGATGATTGCGCTATGCTTGGGGGGGTAAGACGGTAGTCCCTCAAGAAAAGTTCCTGATCAATGTGATGTCGACCTGGTGCAATGGATGATGAAGAAGATTGGCGTCTGTCGAGGTA